CACACACACACACACACACACACACACACAATCAATCAATCAATCAACCAATCAATCATCTGATTTTTTTTATTTTTATTTTATTTTTCGCAGGATCTTGCCGCCGATCTCCGACCCCCAACCAAACCACTTTTCGCCCAAAGCGGGCGCAGTCCCGACCGCTGCGGTCGCCTCGCCAACCGCAGCGGGCAAAGTCACGACCGCGAAGGGTAAGTTCACAACCGCGAGGTCGCAACGGGACTGGAGTGGGCCTCGGTTCTCGACCTCGTCGGCACCCGGTGGACCCGGGGTGGGGAGGGGGCCTTGGACGCGGGGAGTACGACATCAACGGACTTCAACGGCTCGAGGGCGACATCACAGAGCGACATAAGCGCATAGGCTAGTGCGGACGAGTCATTCGTTCACAACGAGTCGGAGGGGGGGTGGTTCCGGGGGGGCCGGTGGTTCAGGGGGGTCAGGTTTTATCCCTGTTTCCGATGCTGAGATGGCCAAGCTGAGGAGGGCCTCATGCGTTTGGAAATACGTTACGCTGGGGCAACCGGTAGGCACGTGGGACAAGTTTCACGGTGACCGCAAGTTGCGATGCAACTTGTGCAAGCACCTGTGGCAGCGGAACCAATCGAAGGCCACGAGGCACTTCTGCCAGTTGAAGAAGTGCCGTGTTGCGCAGTTCGACGTGCTCGTTGACATTTGGAACGACACAGACTACAGATTCGATGACCGACATCACGCATCCATCCGCACATACATGGAGGAGCACGACATCAGAGACTCCCGAGCAGTTGCTGGAGGTCGTACAGGAGCGGATCCTTGCACTGCAGGCAGGGACGACGTGCAGGACGTGCTTGACGAGATGGAGGAGCGGGAGGGGGTGGAGTTGCCAGGGGAGGAGGTCGTGATGACGTCGCGTGGGGAAGACCCTGATATGCGAAAGGGGAAGAGGGCGATGGGGGAGACCGACTGGGCAGCGACTCGACTGGGGAAGAGGGTCCGCCAGTCCAAGATCGATGAGGTCTACACTGCGAACAAGCAATCGGTCTTCAACGACAAGTTTTTGCAGTGGATCTATGACTCTGGCATTCTGTTCAACGCGTTCAGGAGGCAATCGTGGAGGGAGGTCCGGAAGGCGGCGGATGAGCTGCCTAGAGGAGTGTGGATGCGATTTCCTTCCTTTAAGGAAATCGGTGGAGATGGAGTGCCCGAGCAGAGGGCGAAGGTGGCGTCTTTATTACGGGAGGTCCGAGAGTCGTTCAGTCACAGCGGCGCCACCATCTTGTCAGATGGTCGGAAATCGCGTGATTCTCGACCCATCGTGAACTTCCTTGCTGCAGGTGCCAATGGAGCCCCACTCTACGCCACCATTTGCCGCGACGGTTCTGTATAGGAGATGGGCGCCATTGTCTTCCGCAGGTGGAAGGCCATCATTGAGTCCTTCCTTGCGAAGGACGTCATAGCTTTCTGTACAAACTCCGCTAGTAACTACACAGCGGCCGCCCGTTTGCTCGCTGCAGACCCCGATCCAGTGGTCCGCGCATCACCTGGCTCCCCTGCTCGACCCATGTCTGCAACTTGATGTTGTCAGACATTGGGACATGAGTGGGGTGGGCAGTTGACACCATTATCCGTGGACGAGCGATGGTGCGATTTATTAAATCGCACGGCGCAACTCTCGCCCTTTACAAGAAGAAGAGCCCGCGCGTTTCGCTTGTGCAGCCAGTTGAGACTCGCTTCGCATCAGTTTTCATGATGCTGACTTGTCTCCTTGGGAGACGCGACTCGCTGGAGGCGATGTTGCATGACGACGCGTGGGCGAGTATCCCGTGGGAGCGGAGACTGCTGCCCCAGGCGAGATGGGTGCGTCTCCAGATTCGAGATGGCGAGTTCTGGCGTTATGTCGAGTTCTTGATTCTTGTGATGGAGCCCATCCATCAGCTGCTGAGGCGGACAGAGGAGGGATGATGATGTCCATCGTCTACGAGTGGAGCCGTCATCTCGTTCAGCTTCTGACGAAGCTGGACGTTGTGCCGGCCGATCTTCTGACCCCGTGCGTGCGAGAGGTCAGGATGCGGCTCATGCACTTGTTGGAGCCCGCGCACGCTGCCGCTCATCTCCTAAACCCCCGTCGTCGGTCTTTGAGGTACTACACATCCCTCCACACCACGACGGAGGATGCGGAGGTTGTACAAGAGTGTGATCGTTTTCTCCTTGCGCAGACTGGAGGTGAGCCCACCAGCAGGGATTACCTCGTTGTTCGTGACCAGATGCGCCGATTCCATGCGCGCAGTGGAGACTGGGGTGACAGGCTGGTGTCGGATGCCGAGGCGGAGGGCTGCCATGGGGATCAGGGGACGCACCGTTGCGCGGCGTGGTGGTTTGCCCACGTCACTGCCCACCCTGAGTTACGTGCTATCGCTATCCGTGTGATGCACATGTGGACGTCAGCCTCTCCCGCGGAGAGGAATTGGGCAGCCCACGAGCGCATTCAGACGGCAAAGCGGAGCAACCTTGGCTTCGCCAAGCTGGCACAGCTGGTTGAGATTACGACAAATCTCAAACTGGCTTCATGCAGGCAGCAGGGTGGCGGCTATGTGCTTCCGTGGGTCATGGAGGGTGTCGACATCGAGAAACGGCTGCCGGACGAGGACGAGGACGGTGACCCCGAGCCTGACGTGTGGGGGGCCAGACCTGTTGGTACGTTCACCGACATGGAGATCACGAGGCAGATCGATGTTTTTCGCAAGGACGGCACAAGCCGTCCTCGAGAGGTTTCTGCCGTATTCGGGGATCGGGCGGCCACTCTGCTCCCTTTCGACCATGTGCCTCCTCCCCCGTCCCGGGGAGCAGGAGAGGGTTCTGCGGCAGCCGCTGAGGACGGAGAGGATGATTGGTCGAACGCAGAGGATGTGGGGGGGGGCACAGACAGGACGACGGAGCAGGTGTACTTCACGTACGGGGGCGGGTCGGACAGGCATGCGCCGCGGATGTCCGTCATCACGGAAGATGTCGCCGGCGGGGCACAGGGTAGCGCCACTTGACACCCTCCAGCGGGTCGAGGTCGTGGCGCCGTTGCTCGCGACGTTCACCCCCGCACGAGGAGAGTTCTAGGGGTGAAGTCGAGTGACGAGGACGAGGGCGTGGCACCTCACGTTGACCGCCAGCGGGACCCTCGGTTCGATCCGAGCCACCACTCCAGGGAGCATTCAGAGCAGTTTCGTCGGTCACACAGGTTGGCAGAGCGTAGCGTTCAGGCGTCCCAGCAGCCTCAGGACATACCGGTCGCAGAGGGGACATCGTCACACAGCGGCCCCGCTCAGTCTGCGACATCCTCTCTGCGCACCAGCGATTTCGATATCGCGGGTTCGCATGGGGGCTCACCTGTCTTACGATGCAGAGTCCATGACAGAGCGGAGTACAGGACGGATGCGAGGGAAAGGGAGGAGACTATTGAGGAAAGGGACGCTCGCCTGAATCACGAGGAGGAGGCACGGTTGCAGTCCATGCCCCGATGGGAGGGCAGAGAGGCGTATGAGGCCGAGCGGCCGAGGAAGAGGGAGTTAGAGACGATAGGAGCAGGTCCACCATCGAGCATCGGATGTATGCCGACTTTTGACACGATGCAGCCCCCCTCTGGGCCCTCTGATGTTGTGGGTGGTGGTGCTGACACATGCGGATTGGACGCTGGGGGCGGGGGGCAGGCAGATGTGCCATGTGAGGGTGGTCCTATCGGGGTTGTCGAGACAGTGGGGGCAGACACAGGAGTTGAGAGCTCCGACGACGGCGAGGAGTGTGCGGCCGCCGAGGCTATTGTAGACGACATCGTGATTGGCATATGCGCGGCTGGCACAGATGGCGGGACTCATGGAGGGGAGGAGGGGATGGTGGACGAGGGCAGTGTGCCTTTGCTTGAGGAGGAGTTGGTGGACGAGGGGAGTCTTCGTTTGCCTTAGGAGGAGTTGGACGAGGGCGATTTGGCTTTGCCAGAGGAGGAGTTGGTGGACGAGGGCAGTGTGCCTTTCGTTGATGGCGCTACACAGGATGACGAGGAGGGAGCAGCGGTCGATGCAGGGCACAATGCCCCGTCCGTGCGAGATGGCGTGATCGGAGGGCATGTTGAGGAGGAGGTAGCAGCCATCGACATGTCCCTCGCGATTATTGTTAGGCCCCCGTCGGTGCGAGATGTCGAGAGAGGATGACATATTGACTCGGACAGGCTGGGCTTTTTCTCTGGAGGTGGGCAGTTCGCGGAGATTCCTCGGTGGGATGGCGGGGAACCGGGGGAGTGCACTCCGACCCCTGTACATCCGGAGCAGCTAGAGAGGTTGGGGACGGAGGACCCTTTCCCGTTCACTGGTGGTCAGTCCTCGCCTCCCCCGTGGGCTCCAGTGAGCCCTAGGTGGACCGGATCATCGCAGTCCGACATGCGCAGCCACTGACGTGCCCTGTATCTCGAGCATCGTAGCTGACCACAACACCGGTTGCAGGTCTTCCACCGATTGGAGGTCGAGGCAGCGGGCGGGGATCTTCTTCGAGTCATCGAGGTGGCGTTCTAGGGGGGTGGTCGTCTTGTCGGCGAGTGACGGACAGTCTGAGGAGGGACTACGATAGAGGACGGGGGCTGTTCGCACGAGGAGCATCGGGGGAGGGAGATCCTGCAGCGGGTGCGAGTGAGGCTGGACGACCGAGTGTCCACACAGCAGGACGTGTACTCGGATTGGATAGAGTCGAGACGAGGAGGACAGAGAGGTTGAAGGTTTATCCGGCTCGATCAGCCATTGACGACAAACGGCAGGGACTACCGTACACATCGGGGGAGGAGGATTTGCATATGCCACAGGGTTCGAGACATCATGGCTCGATCAGGGATCTTGATACGGAGATTGTTGTTGACCAGCAGCGGTTGGCGGACCTCATTCGCGAGCGTGAGAGGAGGTCGGAGACGGAGGCACAGGCTGAGGAGGCGGACACAGAGACTGAGCCCATCGACACAGCTATGCGGAGAGAGAGGCATCGGAGAGTAGCGTCCGCGGCAGGCTCACACGTTGCACCCGTAGGGAGAGAGGGAGCACCACACGGTAGGGGTCGGATTGGGCAGAGAGGAGCATTGGCAGGGAGACGGAGTGCAGCACGTCATAGCACTCATACTAGGCGCGGTAGCAGGGGTTAGCGACCTGTGTAGCACGGCAGATTAGTTTTGTACTTTCATGTTTTTTTGTATATTATTTTTATTTCATTTGTACATTACTGTCATGTTCTTAGTTGTTAGGTTTCAGACTTGCTATACGTTGTTAGTTTTACACGGCAAGAGTTAGCGACTTTGTGTAGTAGGGAAGATTAGTTTTGTACTTTCATGTTTTTGTATATTATCTTTATTTTTTCTGTACATTACTTTCATGTTCTTAGTTGTTAAGTTTCAGAGTTGCTCTACCTTGTTAGTTTTGTTGTGCTATGTTTCCATCATGTTAGGTGTCAGACTTGCTCATGGTTGTAGTATTTTTTTCCTACACTGTGACACCAGTTTTGGTTTTCTTGGCCAGGTAGTCATGTTGAATTTGTTCACATTTCGTCATAGACACATTACGTTTGTCAGTGCTATGTTTGCATCATGTATTGGTGTTTCTGTGTGTGTTGTATTGTCCTTATGTCTATCAAATCCTATCCCCTCCCAGTTAATGTCCCTCCCCAACCGCCTTTCAGCCAATGAGCCATCTCTTTCTGCCCCCTCCAAATGAATGACACCCATCAACACCCCCCCCAATGAATGACTCCCTGACCAGATCAAACCCCCAAAACCATCGCTGAACAAAARAAAAAAAAAAAAAATTGTGTTGTGAAAGAGGCACCCSCAAAACCCTCTACCMCCCCYCCCCCCCCCTTCTACAACCCGTAAACTACCCCCCCCCCCAAGAAAAAAAAAATTGTTTTCAGCGTGTCTGTGAAGTGGACCCCCCATAACCCAAGCCTGCGCCGTCAAAATTGAAAAAAGGGGGTCCCTTATTTTTTTACCCCCCCTTAAACACACCTCAATTTGGACCCCCCCATTTTTAACTTTTTTTTATTTTTTTCTTTGTGGGGGTGTCTGGCCTTGTTCGCGCCCCCGGAATCCCGAGCCCGACTTCCGGTACCCCCTCCCACGCGCCCGCGGCGCGCCTTTTTTTACCGCGACCGCCGCGGTTATGACCGCGGGCCCGCTGTCGTGCCCGCGGTGACCGCGGCTGCCGAGGATACATAGCTCCTCCTCCTCGCCCGAGCACAAGACTCGGATCTCAGAAGTCGGACCGTCTCCACCGAATCGGCAAAAGTACCCCCCCGTAGAACGGTCCACTCCGGGTCGATAACAGGGTCGGCTCCAAAAGCAACGAACCCCCGCCCCAAATGCTTCCTGGAGAGAGAACATGTGTCCACTACAAGTAACTTTCAATTGTTCCAATTTTTTCTAAGTTCAGGGTAACTTAAGCAAAGGGAAATCAAAAGGGATAAATAATGAAAATCATTTGGACAGGTATAGGCAGATAAGGTCATTCGACATAAAGGCGGTCAATCCTTAAGAAAAGTTAAATTCATTATGCTTTGATTGTCTTTCTGTTTTCAAAATTCCTTTTCTCACGGTGTCGATCGCATTGGTCCGGCACCGCACGGGGCAGCGCAGGACCCTCCCGGCCGCGTCACGCAGGAGTTGGATAAAATCCTTCGTTGCAATATACATGGAGTTTCCACAAGCCGCTCCGGCCGAGTGCGCCAGCCATACCTCCTGCGAGCCCCTACGACAGGATAGGGCCTACGCGAGGCACGACTTACCTCCACCTTACGGGAGCTGTCACCTCCCTTCGGTGGGCGTATCCCCGCCGAGATACCAGTCCACAGTACGAAGGCTAATCAGTTGCAATCGCAGAGGTGGACCAGCCGAGGGCGTTTCTCGTTCGCTGTAGCATAGGGGGTACGCGCGGTAGTACGCCTATCGAACCCGCACGCGGGCCGACATCCAGGGGCGCTGAGGTCCCAAGCGCGGCTCGACGTCGATCGACTAGGACGCATCCCACACAGCATGCGCACACCACTCTAACAACCACAGGACAACAACACACACACACACACACACGAAACGACACAACGCAAACAACGCGACAACTCTCCTAGCCCCTCTGTAACCGTCTCATAACTTTCTGATACGGAAATCGGATAGGCATCCTGCGCGAGACTTAGTATAAAATCGTGCGGACGCAAGACTAACTCGTATCGATTTGCAATGCAAGCGCGCGCAAGCGATCACCATGATGGCGTACTATATGGTGCCCATACTCACGCGGTCCTCGTTAATCTCGAGGGCCGCATTCGACACTCAAGTGTCGGCTGACACGCGCCTTGAGGGTTAATCTCTCGACGCTGGACAACCGTCAGGTGCGGTTGAAGACCACACACCCTCTTCTGCACCTTATGCAGAGCGGGTGGTACAAAGGTTCATACCTGTGGTGACAGCCGTTTCTTAGTGCCCTTGAGATGAGTCTCACTCCGGGCCTGGGTGAAAGTCAAGGGGTTTGACTTTGACGGCTGTCACGGACTACAACGTCCAACATACAACTGTAAAAAGCAAGGGTAAGAAGGGAGATCTCCCTTTTCTCTCAAGGCATAATATGACTAACCCTTATGCACAATCACAGTAGGCCTCACAAATATTCAGGGCACTCATAAATATATAGGACGATCACTTCTCACAGTCACCGTGAGACTCCTCTCAGCCATATATGTATGTAATCACAGATAATCACATCCAGAACCCGAACCACAAATATACTTGCAATCACATCGAAGGTTCAACCAGAGAGGTTCACACACTACACGGGGTCAAATTCAACCATTCTCTGTATTCACACCCCTTGCTTTAGCTATGCAAACCTCAACCTCAGCGCAACCTCCCCGCAATAAAAATACTCAATATCTTTGTTAAATGGCCATTCAACAAAGTTCGGATAAAAACACAACAAAATATTTTAATCACAAGGCTAAAGTCTTTAGGTTGAGTGGCAAGAGTGAATTGGAGTTGAGTCGTAAATCGGCGAATCGGCAACCGACCTGTTATCAGTGATAACATAAGATGATCCTCAAGCGATCAAGCTGAATCTAGTCCTGATCTTGAATCAGACAACCCAAAGGACCTGTAACACAAGATAGGTAAAATGCCCAAGCTAAATCATCAGCATATGGGGGATAAACCTCCATAGAACACCTCCACATAACACTCTCTAGCGCCACCTGTCGAAAATAATCTAACTCCTCTAAAAACAGGAAAATTTCGGCAGCGCTTCCCGTAGGAAAAGTGCCCTCTCAGAATTTATATTAGCCCAAATATGAAATCAGAAATAACCCTTGACTTTCCAAAGTTCAATTTTGTCTAACTCCCTGAATTAGCAAAAATTTGGGCAGCACTCCCCTTAGAAAATGAGACTTCTCATATTTTTACTAAGCCATATATGAAACTTAGACAAGTTGAACTCTGAGAAGTCGGAAATTTGACAAACTCCCTCAATTAGTAAAAATTTGGGCAGCACTCCCTTTAGAAAAAGAGGTTTTCCAGATTTTTACTAAGTCAGATATATAGGAAAGACAAGCTGAACTTTGACATGTCAAAATTTGACTAACTCCTTCGATTTGTAGAAATTTTGGCAGCGCTTCCCGTAGAGAAAGTTGCTTACCAAAATTTATATAAGGCCAAGTATAACAAAAGATCCCAGAAAATGCGAGAATTGACCTAAGTAAAAATAAACTTAGCTCAGAAAATGCAGGAATTGAAACTAACTCC